AGGAATCTGTCCAATCCCCTTTTAAAGGCATCTAGGCCAGCTGCCATCACTACATCCTGTGGCAAGGAGTTCTACATGACTAACAACACACTGGGTCAAGAAATACTTTGATCTGTTTTCACTCTCCCAACACTCAATTGGAATGGATGTCCCCTGGTTCTGGTATTGCACGAGAGGGAAAAGAGATTCCCTCTATCCACTTTATTCATCTTCTGCATAATTTGATAGTGTATTCCCCATCTTGTGTCAGCAGGTGTGTGAGTTCAGCTGGCTGTGACCTGATTTCAGCATTTTGGTAAGGAAGCCATTTGTACGGGTATGCATAACATACTATGTATGTACAAATGTTGACACGGGGAGTGATTTTGGAACTAGAAAACAGTTTCTGAATCAGAAAGTATAGTCGGAACCCCATATCTGTGGGGGATTGGTTACAAGCCCCCCGCGGATGCTGAAAACTGTGGATAATAGTGAGCATAGCATGGTAAAAGAGCAAAATCCAAGAACATGTATTTTCACCTATATCACCAGAACTGGCCAACCAAGGGAGCCAGAGACCATGCTATGTATTCTTCAACAATAACAATACCTAGTATGGTCTCAGGCTCCCTGTAGTGGCCAGTTTGGGTAAATACATTGTGAAAATACCTATTTCTAGTTTTTTCTTTTAATCATTTTCAAAATTTCAGACTACAGATAAGTGAAACTGTGGATACTGATCCAGTGGATGCAGCGGTCTTATATGTCCAGCCTGAGAGAAACGCATGTCTACCCAACTGTCTGCAGTACTTTTGCAGTAATGTGTTCAATGCTGGAAGGGAGACAGAAAGGAAGTACTTTCTATTTAAAGACAATTTAGTTGAAATCCTATTGGCACTTGCATAAGATATGAGTAACTTGCCACGGCTACCTGCAGCTAATTGATGTAGTGCTGGGGTACATCCTGGTTGCGCAAATCAGGCACATGATTAGGCATGTGACCCAGACACTCCTTGGCACCTTTCAATTAGCCAGGACACATTACTCAAACCTTATGCAAACACCAGTATGCAAGCACCTACGTATAAAAGGTGCCACGCATCCATAACCAAAGGCCACCTAAGGCTAATAATGATGGCATTAGCAATGGAGAATGTGACAGGAGCAACTTAGTTCAGAGGCTGGCAGCAAGTCTGGCATGCAGGAAGTTGCAGGTCCAGTCCCTGACAGCCATGCTTCAAAAGATGCTGGAAAAAGGAATTTACAGGAACAAATACCCCAATAAAAACAGTAAAGAAAAGCAACACCAAAAACGTGTTCAAAGCAATAAGGCACAACAGTCCATTCAAGATCCCAATCCAGGCAGCCAGTCCATAAGGGAAAGCTTACCTGAAGAGGAACGTCTTTGCTGGCTTCTGGAAGGACTGCAAAGATGGGGGAAATCTGCCTTCCAGTGGGAGGGGGTTCCAAAGGCTGGGAGAGTCTTTGAAACAGAGCTGCATCTTTGATAGTGCAGGGATGGTGTTAAAATACTGGTATGTGTTTCAGACACTTAAATGGGCTCCTAATATCTTTTTCATGGTGAGGGCAAGAAAAAAATGTCCAAAAAGAGACCAAAAAAACAAAAAACAAACCCCAACTCAAAAGGGTGAAAGGCTGCATTGTGTGACTGTGCCCATCCTTATTCATTTATTACTTTCATTTTTCCCCCTAGCTCGGGACTTAAGAAATTTCCTTTTTGTGCAAATGCTGGAAGATAACTTTTTGGAGCACCAGCCTAGAAACCTGTCAGAAGGCCAATCAGAGGGATTGGCGACAGGGGATATATTTATAGGCCACTAATAATTTTTTTAAAAAAATCATGCGAAATGCGAACTTTTGTGGGTGAATCACATGATCAGAGGGACTGTTGACATCATCTTCAGGACTCAGCCAATCCCGAGGGTGTTGCTGCTGCTGCCTTGGGAACCCAACCCCTTTTCTCCTGGGTCTTTGTGACCTCACAGGGACCCCACCTCTCTGCTGGCAGATAAAAGGGGCTTGCTGGGCAGGGCAGGAGACCAGGAGGTAGGCCAGTGGCCAGAGGGCAGTCTGGCAGAGAGAGAGCGTCAGTGGCAGCAGAGGACCCAGCCCTTCTGCCCAAGGCAAGTTCTCTCAGTTCTGTCGTGAAAGCAGATGAACTTGCTAAGTGGGCTTGCAAGTTAACAGCTCGAGGCTGGCAGAGATCCATGGCTGGAAGCTGGCTGATGTCGGAGATGGACCAGGGGGAAGTTGGTGGACGTTGGCAGACAGAAGCTGGTAGAATCTCCCTGCGGAAGCTGGCTGAGGCCGCAAGGCGGAGGCCGGCAGAGGTTGGCGGATGAAGCCGGGGGACGTTCGCCTCCTGAAACCAGCTGGCGGAAGCTTGGTGGATATCGGTGGATAAAAGCCTGGACGTGTGTGTGAATGGCTGGTGGAGTGAAGGTGTGTGTGTCAGGGGGTGGCGGCTGGTGTCTATGTGTGTCTGTGTGTGAATGGGCTGGTTGGCGTTCCGTTGGGATGTCGCTGGAGTGTGTGTGTGACCCAAGCATTTGGGAGCTGGCAGAGGCTGGCTTCAGAAGCGGAGTGGAAGAGATGAATGGTTGGATATTCCTGGTGGAAGCCAATGGATGTTGGCAGGCAGAACTTTGGAATGAAGTTGTCAGAACATTGGTCGGTGGATATGCCTGGGTTGAAGCTGGTTGACGGCAGTGGATAAGCTCGTTCCTTAGTTGTTTCTTCTCTCTCTTTCTCTTGCAGGGCCCGAAGCTTCCTCTTCCCCAGGGGGATGCAAGGGACCAGAATGCAGGCATCCTGCTGGAGCTGAACCAGGCCGTTGTCTCCGCTGAGGATACCCGTTTGGCCTCTTTTCCAAAACCAATAAAAGTATTTTTCCAGAATGATTTTGTTGTCTTGTTTGTCAGGGGCTGTCATGGGATTATCTTCCCCATCCCCTCATTATATCTGGGGCCCAATGCCTGGAGTGGGTCTTTGTGAAGTCATGGTGTGGGGCCTTGTGATGTCACAGGAATTGGGAACATAATATTTCTCCATGCATGTGTGAGGGAGTGAGCTAGGCA